GTGCTGTGCTGTGCTGTGCTGTGCTTTTTTTGCCTTTGCTTTGGCAAGCGGGCACCGCCCGCCACCGCAGCGCGGAGCTAAGGGCGGGACGGATTCCAGCGCGACTCTTCCGCCGCGCCCTTCTGCCGCTTTCGATTTTCGTGGCTGAGCTACCGAGAAGGGGGCACGGTTCGCCTCTTTCGCTCCCATCCCCAGAAGCCCTTTGACACCGCATCAGTCACTCGACTCGCGCGTGCGGTCGCTGTCACCAGTCACGAATTTCTTGCGCCTTCGAACGTCGGCTCAGCTCAGCATTGCTCGCTCGGGTTCAGCTCAGGCTCCAGCTCAGCTCGGTCCCCTTTTTTGGCTCGCTCTTTCTGCAGGTGGCAAGTTGGCAACCGCCGCGGCAATGGAAACGGAAACATTTGGCGGTGCCCTTTCCCTATTTTATCCGCCCGCCGCTGCCACGACATCGACCTGGCCTGCTGGGCGCCCCTGTGCAAGACGGCCGGTGGTGCTGTGCATCGATGCGAGAAGGGTGAATTCATGCTGCTGCTGATGATGCCTTTCTCCCTCCAGGTGTGTCGTGCATCGCAATCGATCCTTCGTCGTCACCACCCGGTCAGGGTGGCTCCCCCTTCTCTTTGCGTATGAGTCCTTCAGCATGTCAGCACGTCAGCATGTTCCGAGGCCATCCACCACCTTCCTCTATGGTAGTGTGACCGCCTTCCACGAGGCACGCAGGTGACCGCCCATGGCAGCTCGGCTGAGCGGCGCTTACGCGTCCACTCTTCAGGGTCCAGCCTCGGCCAATTTTCGAGCAGCGTTGCATGCGAGCGATCACTGTCCGCTTTCAGTCACGTTGTTACGCCGCCAGCTTCAGGACCTGAGCCTGAAATATCGGGAGATGCCAAGCAAGATGAGAGGAAGCCTCCCGATGCCAGGGTTCGTCGCTCCGGCGCAGCAGTCAAATCACATTTTCTTCGCTGCCGAGCGTCGGAGGTGATTTCGTGTTTGCCCCGCAGCGAGCGGAGGAGTCAAACTCGAACGACATCCAAGGCTTTCTTCGTTGTCTGCCCACCATCACCATCTGCTATCAAACGGTGATTTGACCCGTACACTCTGACGCTTTGGGCTAGCACCTCGAAGCATTTGCAGCTGCGTCAACCACCAGGACCACCTCACAACCGGGCATCAACCTCTTCAATCGGCAGCATGTCGTGGAGGAGCAACGCACAACGCACCGGCATGAATGCCCAGCCGCTGCAAGGCGCGCGTAGATGGGGAGGCGGCGGTGGCGGCGGCGGTGACGGCCCCAATCCTGGACCTTCCGGATCCGCACCTTCACCGTACAACAACGATCCTTCTCGCAGTTACTCGCATGCGTATCAGCAGCAGCAGCAGCAGCAGCAGCA